GCTATAAATAGGGATATATCAACAAAGTTGAAATGGTAAATTGGCCACCGTAACGATTACAAAAGCTGACGTTTCGAGCGTTAGCCCTCGAAAGAATGAAAAATTTCACAAGTGCGATTTGCAGCCAGAATTTCACAACTGTAGTGGTTGTTCGGAAAAATTCTTAGCTGTCGCTGCTCTAAAAGATATTTATTGCGGGATTTGTGCGTTACGGCTGACTCCTCTCGATCGCTTCCATCTTCACTGTTGATTTAGAATCGTGTCTTCGCTCACATCCGGGAGAAAAGTAGTCTCCTTCGCAGCCGCTCGGGCCGGAGTCACGCAACGCTCCCCGTCCCCGCGCTGCAAAGGAGACTAGGAGAAAAGGAAGTGTATAGAACCGGAAAGCTCGTTGATCTCGCCGGAAGTGAGAGACAAAGCAAATCCGGCTGCACTGGTGAACGATTTAAAGACTCCACCACGATAAACTTGTCTCTGTCTGTGCTTCGGAATGTCATATCTGCTGAAAGCTTTGTCAGTTTTCGTATTCTCCATGTCGAGTAGTTGTAGTTCGTTTCTTTGTCGTCGACAATTAAGTTTTTATGCAAGCGAAGGGTAATAATTGAGATTATTATTTGTATAATTTGACTAACTTAAGATTTTTTCTGATAGCTAAGAGAAGATTATTAATGTTGGATCTTTTCTAGCTGTTTTAGAACTTATCGAATACCCTGTCGGGGTACATTTTGCCGGAGTCTGATCTACTTCTGTTTTTTTTCTTTATTAGACCTTTTTGCCGTATGAGGACCATCAAACGCTTCGTTCTGTTTACGGCCATAGCTCCAATTGCTATCTTGGTACTTCGACTGTTTGCCCTCGTAACAGAAGTATTACAAATTCGGCATCCCAGCGCCACTGGAATCGTTGCTGCAATAGGTGGTGCGGTATTTCTGGGTATTGTTTTTTTCATTCTTCGTCTGTTGGAACCACGTTTGGTAAGTATACCAGAGAGCGTCGTTCGGGGTTTAGAAAACTATTTTCGCATTTTTCAATTAAAAAAACTTATATTTTTCTGAGCATCGCTTCTTCATCATAACAAAGTGAAGAATGATGCGTTATAGTTTTAGGGTTCAAGGAATTACGATAACGTAAGAAGCCATGGTGGATCTAGATATATGTCGGAGTTTAGGTCAAACCTCTTGCGATAGCGAACGTCCAATAAGGGTTAAAACTCTTCAATAAAGAAGATAGAAGGAAAATGTTTAGGGTTCAACGAACAACTTTAATTTTTTGCACGAACTGGCAATATGCGGAAAACTAGTTTTGAAGTGCAATACAAGTCATTAAAAGAAACTGACTTGGCTTCACTGTGTTGCTGTGTTGGACATCACATTACCCAAGAATCTAGAACTAAACATCTTCCGGTGAAGGATTTATTCGTTTCCCCCCCCCCCCTCCACCCCAAGGGCGACCATCTTCGGCTCCAGAGGACAAGCTACAGTTGCTATAGTGATTTTTAATCACGAGGGTCGTTATATGTTTTTCCCTGCAGGTGCTTTGCTTCCCCGATACTTGTGGTCGCAGAAATATCGTTTTCACTGGCAGAAGCTCTAAGAGTCTTAGAAATAATCTAATGTCATTGGACAGTGATAAGCCCTCCAGTGGTGAAGTGGAAAAGTTCAAAGACAACGCTCTACCCTATCTGGAAGATTTCAAAAGTTCTCTAGAAAAGTATATGACAACAACAAGACCATTCCAATATATTTTCTCAGGCAGTGTACAGGAGAGATTCAGCTTCCCGGTAATGATGATGACGGCTTCTAGATGGGTTTGTGGATTGTGTCCATCTTATGACTATAACGGTTTAACGTCAGATCTAGACGTCATGTTTTTCAGTACAGAACATAAAGCTTCATTTGCTGGTCAAGAAGACATCTTCGTGGAGTATCTTGTTCCTGAGAATGAAGGTTTCACTGGATACGCTAAACTCACTCAGCTCACCCCTGGCTTTACAGAACGCGTTCTTAGTTCTACCCTTGTCATGCGCAGAGCAAAAGAGGCTATTCTTAATGCAAGTGTTATCAATCTACCCGGTACTAAATTAAATATTTGTTCTAAGGTAAAACTGCATTCGAAAGGCCCAACTATAAAACTTCACATACTACCAGTTTTCGAAGCTGACATAACAGTTTCTGTCCAATGCCCCGAGTGGCCAGCCAAGAGTGACTGGGGCAACCGACCGAGATTTTGGCCCAGTATAGCTGACGTACACAGAATAATGTCACTTGGCTGTCATCTGGTGGCCAAACCAGCACCTAGTGATAAGGATAAAACAAGCTGGAGATTCTCATTCTCTTTGGCAGAAGTTGAACTCTCAAAACTTGTCCCAGACACAGCAAGGAAATGCTTCATGGCTATGAAAATAATCTTAAAGGATCATCTTCAACCCGTTTGGCCAGCAATCAAATCTTACCATTTGAAAACTATATTCCTGAATACTCTGGAAAAGTTACCAGTGGGTTTCTGGGTTGAGAATAACATAGAAGAATGCTTTCAGACTTTGCTATCGGAGCTTTGTGATGCTTTTCTGTTGAGGAATTGTCGCCATCATTGGTTCAGTTCCATTAATTTGTTTGGTGGAAAAGGGTCATCTTGCTTTGTTTCCAACGCCAAACGATTCCAAATCCTGGGTAACAAAGTAGAAAGAATCATGTGCGACCCTGCACCATTTATTTTTGACGACGGTACTTGTTGTCTGTCGCTATGATGTCACCGAGTGCCACAAAACAACTTCACTCGAAGAAGCACTGAACAGCTGCTTGCTGATTATGAAGAAATTGCCTCTCCTTGCGATGGCCAATGTTCTGCTCGAACACACGATCCAGTCAGCTATTCATTACTTGGTGCCTCGTCTCCAAGGTCTGAAGTAAGCGAAGCTGAACCTCACTTCAGTGGTCAATGCACTGATGATCAACAACAGTTGAACACAATTGAGCCAGATCATGTTGTCCTCTCTCTTCCTCAAAGACACCTTTCTGCGGAGGACCACACTTTCCACACTAGTTTTGATGAGGACCAAGGGCATTTGGTTCGCGTGTTTGATGTTTGACTTCATTTAAAAATGTTTACAAAAGAAGAACGACTAATTCTTAATTTTTTTTTAAAGGAGCACATAGGCTTGATACGTAGTTTATTCTTAACAAGGAGGTTAAATCGACAAGTTTGACGGTATTTTCTAATTCGCTGAATGAAACGTTCATTAATCGGCAAAGCGCCAACTAGCAAACAACGCAGTAAAGACTTTAACTAAGGCATAGTCTCATAGGCAAAAAATCCTTTTTCCTTAAAACTCATTCTGCCTTCAAAATTTCCACTGAATATGAATTGATTTTAGCTGCCACTAAAATGAATTTGTTGTTCTGAAGTATTTGTCATATTAGATACTAGGAAAAATGTTTGTCTGTGTTCTTCCTCAGAAGATTTATTCGTTTATCTCCTCTATCTCCTCGAATAAGAGATTCATATAAAAACCGACTGAGGGCCACTATTCCCCTAATAAGTAGTTTATTACATGGCCGGTCAGACCAACGTTTTATTTGGAATTTACTCGCTTTTGAGATAACAAAATAAACGACTTATGACCCTTTCCGTGGAAACGGTCCGTGTGGCATAGTCCTGACCGAGAAAGAACTAATTAGAACGCTCACATTTACCTCAAGACTACCTTGCCGTATATTAATTAACAATTATTACACGAGCCCGCGTTGGATATGAGATGATAGATAGCCAACGTCCAACGAGGCGCGTAACTCCCTTTTAATTTTAAGCTGACGCGTACGCTTACCTAATTTGTAGATTATGGTATATTGGCTCATATGCCATAATGGCTAAGCCAATAAAAAGTCTTAAATTGAATTATCCAACGATCGAGTTTTTAATAATAGTAATTGCTATATACCTACACTGTCACTCAACAACATGAGCAGTGTCATTGGCTCTTTCTTAGTCACGTGCCCCCGATCAAGTTCAAATGTATCAAGGCCAGGATACAATTGCCGAATACCACAGCATGTTTTTGCACTAAGAAAGTTGAAGGGAAAGTATAAATATGCAACCAAGCACTTATTGTATGGTCCCTCGGGAAAGTAGCTAGCTTTGTTTTCGCTCGAGTCCTGATGTTTCCCGAGACGAAGTCGCGGGAAACATCAGGACTCGCGGGAAAACAAAAGTTAAGTGTTCCCCTCGCGACCATAAATTAAGTGTATAGTATTGCCAGAGAATAATACAAATGCTTGCTGTTTTGGTATCAGGCCTCCAATTCATGTCATTTGCAAAGATATTCCGATTAGATAAAATAAAAAATCCACCTCAACTTTTATCTTAGCAGCCAAGTAAAATGGTGTTTATATGAAGCTGAGTATCTCAAGAGTTAAGGAAGAATGGAAACATAACCAGGAGCAAACAGTTTAGTCGTCCGCCATTTCGTTTCATTAGACTAAGGGATCAACTGTTGTGCAAAACGGTTTCCTTTTTTAGCTCTTTCTTACAGACACTCACAGAAGTTATTTTAGACACGTAAAGCGTTGACACACAGCTTAGAAACGCAACAGATCAAAGAATACAATTCATTTCATTTCCTCATCTTACATTCGATGGCTTTACCGAGTTGTTTTATTAAGGGCGAATGATTCGCTCTGACGAAGGCCTAATGCTCGAGACGTCAGCTTTTTAACTCTTTACGGTGGCCAGTTTACAACTTTAACTTAGTTGCTGCAGCCAAATTATCTTGTTACCCCACCGACGCAGCGCCACGGTTTCTTTATAAACTTACTTCCTTTATAGGTTTTATCAAGGCCCTTCATTCACTATGTAAGTTCAAATCCTCAGATCTGCTTTTGAATCAAACTTTTATTCGGGCATAACTTGGATATATCAACAAAGTTGAAGTGGTAAATTGGCCACCGTAACGATTACAAAAGCTGACGTTTCGAGCGTTAGCCCTTCGTCGGAGCGAATAGAGGAATTGTGGGTTGTGTGTGCTTTTAAAGGCAGAGAATGGAGCTACGTTATTGGTGGGAACATGGCAACGAGAAAAACAAGAATAAATTAGTGGAATGAAAAGCGTTCGTTGATCCCTGTGGGATTTAGACTGCCGGTTTGAAAGATGAGCTTTTGTTCAAGATTTTTACGGCTTTCCGTGCTACCTAAGTGTAAGGAAAGACCGCAGATTGCCATATGTTGCTTAGAATGATTAGGTAAATTAAAACTTTTAGCGACTGGTAGCTCCATTCTCTGCCTTTAAAAGCACACACAACTCCCAATTCCTCTATTCGCTCCGACGAAGGGATAACGCTCGAAACGTCAGCTTTTGTAATCGTTACGATGGCCAATTTACCACTTCAGCTTTGTTGATATATCCAAAGATAAATTAAAAACTTTAAATTACTTCAAAACGATCCAGAGACAAGCACTATCTTTTCGCAGCCTCCGCTCATTTCATTCAAACGCGACAAAAACATAGGCAATTTTTTGGTCAGAAGTTCTTTTCAGACTAATGACCAACCAGGCACTTTTAAATGCGCTCGTGCACGATGCAAAACGTGTCCTTTCATTCACAACACTGATAAAATATCGGGACCTAAACGATCCATTAAGATCACCGATCACTTCACGTGCACCTCCGCCAATGTAATCTATTGCATAACTTGCACTTATTGCAAAAAGATATACATCGGCGAAACAGGCAGAAGACTAGGTGACCGATTCCGAGAACACCTTCGAGACGTGGAAAGGAATGACAAGGACACATCGAAACCAGTCGCTAGACATTTTAATTTACCTAATCATTCTAAGCAACATATGGCAATCTGCGGTCTTTCCTTACACTTAGGTAGCACGGAAAGCCGTAAAAATCTTGAACAAAAGCTCATCTTTCAAACCGGCAGTCTAAATCCCACAGGGATCAACGAACGCTTTTCATTCCACTAATTTATTCTTGTTTTTCTCGTTGCCATGTTCCCACCAATAACGTAGCTCCATTCTCTGCCTTTAAAAGCACACACAACCCACAATTCCTCTATTCGCTCCGACGAAGGGCTAACGCTCGAAACGTCAGCTTTTGTAATCGTTACGGTGGCCAATTTACCACTTCAACTTTGTTGATATATCCAAGTTATAATCGTTACTCCCACCGACGCAGCCCCAAACAGTTTCTTTCGAAACTATCAGCTTTTATTCGGGCAGCCTTCACTCTCCTTCATAAATAGCAAGCCTACCTGTCTAACTACCTACCTCCAATTGGGTAAGTAAGTTTCTCAGTACCAAATTCCAGACTTAGAGATTTGTAACGAATCGTTTTGTTGGGGTATGAACTCCTTTTTTAGTTCATTAATATCAAAGGTACCTTTTGTATTTTGCTTGGTTCACACATTGAAAAATCGAAATTTACGTCTTTGAAGTCAATTTCTCTCTCTTTTTCGGCTCTCTGAGCTATACACAACTGAATTGATAATGTGATAAAGGCGGATATCCAATTAAATCAAGAAGAAAAAAAAGAGTCAGACTTATATTTGTAATGCGGTGCAATAATCAGGACTTTTTATCGTTAAATTAATTCGGATTTGAAGGAAAAATAAGAAAATTTTACTCATCTTAGAGGCATCAAAACTCGCCTTCAATTCCAAGTCAAATAAAACAACTTCAAACGTTTTAAAACGGCTTTTATTATTAATAATTTTATTGTGACTATAAAAGAGAGTGAAGTGTGTCAACTGTTTTTTAAGGCAGTTTTTGCTTTTTTCTTAAAACCTCCTCGAGTCGTCTGTGCTGATAAGAGTGGAATCTCTCCCCAAAGAAGGAAATCTCAGGACACAGGCAACATAACCCTACGCTAACTGAACCCTGGAAAAGAATTAGAGACGGATTATGTTAGTGCACGAGAGAGAAAAATATGATGAGTTTCTCGATGTACGGTGACATCAAATAGATCAAATGTAACGTGTGAGGTAAGAAAATCGTATAGTAGCTAATCACCCCTAAATAACCAGAGCACCGATCGAAGGAAAGGCAGCAACACACAAGTAAGACAACAGGCTTTACCACCTAAACTAAATGAACAGAATTTTATAAAGGAATAGACTAAAGATAAAAAATATGGACGATTTACGTATATCTGCGACATTTAAGAAAGTATAGGTGGTAGATTGGTAAATAAATAAATAAAAACATGGATAAACGTTATTAACTCAACTGATAAAACACTAACTGTGTGATAAAAGCCCAATTGACCAATTATTGGTTAAGGGTAGAAGAAAAGATTGAAAAGCAAGCAGTCAATTTCTTGAATTTTCAGTAAATCTGATAAATTACTCCTGCTATGACCCTTGGAAAAAAATACGAAAGCGGGCTGCTTACTTTAGCGCTGGTATAAGTTTCTCGGGCAGTTTAAAGATTAGTGATTTAAATTTCTGTTTGGATAAAGTTGTTTTCGTGAGGAGAGGATTGACAATGAAAACTATGCTTTAAGGAGGTAATTTTCTAAAGAAACTGTGGTGCTACGTTGGTAAGTGAGTATAACAAGATAATTTTGTTTAATCAGATGAGTTGATATTGTAAATTGGTCACCGTATAGAGTTTCTAAGCTGACGTTTCGAGCGTTAGCCGTACGCCAGAGCGAATGGAGGAATTATGGGTTTTAGTAATAGTAATAGTAATAGTAATATAGTATTTCTGACCACTTGCAACCTAAGGCTGAATTACGGGTGCAGTTTTAAGGCTAAGATCAGACGTCAACATATAAGGCGCCTCTGGCAGCCACTTCAGTCCATTGATCTCACCTTCCCACCCATCCCACTCCAGGAGAGGACATCCATCACACAGTAATTTCGTGTGTGGGAAATTAACGTCTTCTACCCCAACCCTGCAGGAGACGGGACCTCCATTTATTCGTCCCTATCCGAGAAGACTAGAATATCTAACCATTTCTGATGTTATAGAAAGGTAGCAAATTCTTCTCAATTATTTTAAGACCTTGAGTGTTGGTCCGGCCGGGGCTCGAACCCTCGACCTCCTGCACAACAGCCCAGCGCACTATCCATTGGGCTAACTGGGCGGCGGTTTTGTGTATGCTTAGATGCAGACAATGGAGCAACGCTATTGGTGGGAACATAGTGATGGGAAAAGCGTTCGTTGATGCTGTGGGTATAAGGAATGCCGATTCAAAAGATAAATTTCTCTTCTAGAGTCTTGCGGCTTTCCCAACTGCTTGGACGAAAAGAAAGACCGCGGACGGCCACATGCTGCTTTGAATGATTAGGGAGATTAAAGTGTTTGGTGACTGGTTCGGATGCTTCCTTGTCATTCCTTTCTACGTCGCGAAGGTGTTCTCAGAATCAGCCACCTGGTCGTTTTCCTGTTTCACAGATGTATATCTTTTTGCAGTACGTGCACGTTGTGCAATATATTAAATTGGCGGGGGAGCACGTGAAGTGTTTAGTAATCTTCATAGATCGCTTGGCTCCCGATATTTTCTCGACGTTGTGGATGAAAGGACAAGTTTTGCATCGTGCGCGAGCGTATTTGAAACATTTATGTGCATTTACACCGTTCATTGGACGGCAGAGTTATGTGATGGCAAAAACATATCAATTAATAAACCAATCGATATTTACCTCCTCGTCCAGTGGATAAATCACTTCGCTCTTTGCGGCTTGGACACCAGCATAGCTTTTCTTTTCTTCCGTGTACGGTGACGCACTTCTTGATCGGCCCTCGGCCTCGTCACGACACAAAATATTTTCTCGAAT